AATCTGGGCGGACCCTGAAGGAAGAACGCTGGTAGTACAAATCTCGATTAATGGCATTACACTCTTACTGGTAGTAATCTATGCCCCAAATGATGATCAAGGTAAATTTTTTAAACATCTCCATCAAAAAATAACAGAATTCGAAAATGGTAATATTATTCTGATTGGCGATTTTAACTCTATTGCTGACTACCGGAAGGATCATAGTAATAGGAGTAAGAACAAAAAAGGGAATAGAGAATTTTCTAAGCCATGTAAGGATATGTTGAATGAAATGAATTTGGTAGATATCTGGAGAAAATTAAATCCCAAAAAAGAACAGTTTACTTATTATTCTAACCCGCACAAAATTTGGACAAGAATAGATATGGCTTGGATAAACGGTGAATTGATTAATGAAATCAAAGATAGCGAAATCTTACCAAATGACTGGGCTGACCACAATCCAATTCAAATAACCTGGAGAGGTAGAGGAAAACCAAAGAAAAGATGGACTTTTAACACTCATTTAACAAAAGAAGAAGAATATATTAATAAACTGAAAGAAGAACTGAACTTCTTCTTAAAGGAAAATAATAATGATCTAACTTCGAAACAAAATATATGGGACACATTTAAGGCATTTATAAGAGGAATAACAATCTCTTACAATGCTATGAGAAATAAAAGAAAGTATGCCCAACAAAGTAATCTACAACAAGAAATTAAAGATTTAGAAATCCAATTACAAAAGAACCCCAAAAACCAAAGAATACAGAACCAGTTAATAACAACTAAACACAAATTAAATTTACTGGAACAAGAAAAATTGGAGATTAGTCTGAAAATGACTAAACAAATCTACTTTGAGCATGCAAACAAACCAGGGAGATGGTTAGCCCACAAACTTAAGAAAACGAAAGAAAAAAGATTGATACACCAATTAATGGATGAGGGGGGCAATATGCAGGAGGAGATAGAGAAGAAAAAAGAGATTACTTTTAATTACTTCGAGAAATTATACAAAAAAGAAGAAGTCTCTGAGGATAAAATAATGAAATACCTGGAGGAAGCGAATGATAAAGCAATTGGAGAGGAAGAGATAGAATTATTAAATCAAAAAATAACATGGTCCGAACTGAAGTCAGCAATAGAGAAGCAAAGTAACAATAAAGCACCTGGACCGGATGGGATACCGGTAGAACTTTACAAAATTATCATAGAACAAATTGGACCACTGATGCTGGATGTTTTTAATGAGGTACTCTTAGCAGCCAAGATGCCGGACTCGTGGAGGGGAGCCTTAATTTCGCTGATCCCGAAGGAGGACCTAGACCACAGACTTATTAATAATTATAGACCAATTTCGCTCCTGAATGCAGATTACAAATTATTCTCTTCTATAATAGCTAATAGATTAAAACAGGTTTTAAACACTTATATCCATGAAGATCAAAATGGATTTCTCCCATTTCGACAAATTAAGAATAATTTAAGAACAGTGATAGACATTTCAGAATACTATGAAGCCCACCCGGAAAAACAATTTGCATTTATGTTCTTGGATGCTGAAAAAGCATTCGACAATTTAAATTGGCATTTCTTAATTCAAAAAATATATAATATGAATCTTGGCACCAGATTTGAAAATGTCATCACAACAATTTACCACACTCAACAGGCAAACATTCTAATAAATGGGGAACAAACTGGCCCGATAAAAATAGAAAAGGGGGCAAGACAGGGTTGCCCTCTCTCCCCTCTGCTTTTCATATTCGCCCTAGAATCTCTTCTGACGTACATTAGGCAAAATTTGAGAATTAGAGGTCTGAGGATCAAATCAGAAGAATATAAACTACAGGCTTTCGCTGATGATTTGGTTTTTTTTCTGGAGGAGCCTATAGAAAAAGGACACAACTTATTAGAAGAACTAGAACGATTTGGAGAAGTCGCGGGATTTAAAATAAACAGGGGAAAAACAAAATTAATGACTAAAAATTTAACAGGAGACCAGAATAAAAAGCTAGAGACAACAATGGGAATACAGGTGACAAAAAAAATTAAATACTTAGGAATTTGGCTAACTCCACAAAGTAAATCGTTAAAAGAAAATAATTATGACAAACTTCTTCAACAATCTAAGAAAGACTTGGATTTCTGGAGCAAGTTACAACTTTCCTTATTGGGCAGGATTGCTTTGATTAAGATGAATATTCTGCCAAAATTTCTATATTTATTCCAGACAATTCCAATCAAACTAAATAAAATTTTTTTTATGGAACTAAACAAGATAACATTGAATTTCATTTGGCAGGGGAAAAAAGCTAGGATTAACGTAAAAGCCCTACAAGATTTGAAAAGCAGAGGAGGGTTAGCCTTGCCAAACTGGGAAATATACCATACGGCAGCCACCTTACTATGGATAAAGGATTGGGTAAACCTAACCAACAAAAGAACACTAGTATTAGAAGGCCACGATATGCAGAAAGGATGGCATGCCTTTCTGTGGGAATCAGGGAAACCCAGGCAATCATATTTCCATAGGCATCTTATTAGGGACGCTTTATTAACTAATTGGAAAAAAGTACGTAAAAAACTTTATCTAAAAATACCGATTTGGCTGTCTCCAATGGAAGCGATAGTACACCCTAATAATTTGGATATAACCAAAATGATTAAGTATGAAAATTTATTAGACCTACAAGGAAAGTTAAAAACACGACAAGAATTACAAGAACGAGGATTTATAATTGATCAGTGGGTGTACCTTCAAATTCATAGTAAATACAAACAAGACATTAAAGAATTTGGAATCTACAATAAATTACAGACTCTAGACAAAATTCTATTAGGACCAAGTAAAAAAAATATATCTAAATTTTACAAATATTTATTAGAAACAGAACTGGAACAAGAAATTGTCAAGGGAAATATGATTGCGTGGAGCAGAAATGTGGGTCGGAGCATTACCCTAGCAGAATGGGAAAAGGTCTGGAACAGGAACATTAAGATCACGAAATCAGCAGCTTATAAAGAAAACTTATATAAAATGTTTTATAGATGGCACCTGCCTCCTTCGAGATTGGCCAAGATGCACCCCAACACGAGCCCCAAGTGTTGGAAATGTCAAAACATAGAAGGTACCTTCTTCCACATGTGGTGGTCATGCAAGGAAACCCAGAAGTATTGGCAAAAAATTAGGCACTGGCTAGAGGAAATAACCATGGAACAGATTGAGTACAAACCGGAGTCCTTCCTTCTAGGAATTTTTGATAAACGAATATCCAAAAAATCAAAGTATATTACAATCCATATCTTAACCGCGGCCAGACTGGCATTTGCCCAGTGCTGGAAACTACCTTCCATCCCCACTGAACTTATGGTCATTCAGAAAATTTTACAATGTGCAGAAATGGACAATCTAACCCAAGCATTAAAAAATAAAGAATCTTCAATTTATTCTAGCAATTGGAATCCTTTGTATATTTGGCTTAATCAAAGATAGTTCACCGCTAAGAAGACTAAGGCCGACGATAGCTTTGAAGAAGAAAAGACCTTACTGACAGTCACAAAATATGGTTTTATTATAATTGTCTTTCCTACCTTTGTTTTCCCCACTTTTCCCCCCTTCTCTTCCCTTTCCCTCTTTCCTCTCTCAAACTTTCCTTTCTTTCCCTCTTGGCTTACGCCAAGACTGGTGCGTCTCTTTGTTGTATATAATTTATAGCTGTGTTGTTGTCTTTTTTTTTAAAAAAGTAAAATTAATAAAGTTTATTTAAAAAAAAAAAAAAGAATTCCGAGACAGGCATAATCCTCGAAGAGCATTTTATTGGGACATATCAAATTGGCACAAACTTGCTGGAAAACCGGCTTGAAGTTCCCACAGGTTTTACACCCAATTAAAAGCAAAACTTTGTTACTCCCCCCCCCATCTCCAGTCACATGGTCCAATCAGAATATAGTCCAGTTGCTAGGTGACCTGTCTCCACCTTGCAAACACCTGCACCAATGTCCTTGATTCCCAGGGGAAATAATTTTATTTAGGCTACAGTACCCCAGTTATCTCTAAACCCCGCTCCCTGGCCCCTTTGCTCCAGGCTGTCAGCCCTGAAGCAGTGAGAAAAGGAAACCTCCCAAGAGAAAAGCTACAAAGAGAAAATGGCTAGTTAGGCCAGGGTTGACAAGTAGTGCTGCTTTGTGGTAGTCCTGAAGTCACCTGTGCACACTATCCATCCACTGGGATAATTAGTGAAGCAGGTATTTTAGCCAATATCCCAAAGGGTATTGTTCTGTGTGTGCAGACATACATGCTGAACCTTTCAATGTCTAAGACTGCTTCGCAGGGCGGTGTTAGAAAAATATGCAGAGGCCTTGTATAGAATGCCTATTGCCCCAACTATACACACAGCCAAGGAAATCAGGAAAGCAATTATTTGGTCAACTCAAGGACTTAAATCCTTTTCAGGAACAAGCTCCAGGCGGTTGTATATTCTATGGTAGAACCAACTCCGATGGGTGTGTAAGGGTTGAGCAAATTTGTCACTTCTCAGAACTTTATTTTTTTAATGATTAAAAAAATAAATTATAAAGATTTGGTGCTTAAGTATAAAAGAAAACAAAGCAGACAAACAAAATTAGTTAAAATGAAATAAAAAGAAATTAAGTATGTAACAGGCACAGTTTTTACACATTTATAGAATCACCTTTTACAGCAGCCTTTTTTTTTTTTAACAGAGAAGGGACCACTCCGGAGGTGTCAGGCCAATTTTCATCTGGTCAAGAGATTACAGAAACTAAAGGACATCTATCTCTGCCACGTTAGGAAAGCTGCTTTATTGGAAGTAAAATGGAACTGAACAGCCTGACTCTTATGCATTACATTAGGTGACTGCATTCTATTTTCTCTGATTTTAAATTATGGATATTTTTTTTACTGTAACATGACACTAGCTTAGCAAAGTTTGCCACAAACAGCATTTATCAGCATGTGGACCTCCATTTTTTTCTGTATATATAATAAAGTTTTATGACTCATTCAAACAATTTCAATAAGGATGATGTTATCTGAAAGCTTTAGTTTGCAATATTCTGTTTTGATTTGATAAATCCCAGACAGTTTTACTTCAAAAAAGCGAAAGTCACATAGCATTGAGGTAAAATCCATTTAAAAGTGGGCTGCTTTAGCTTTTTGGTGAAGTACTGGGTGGTAAAAATAAGATCTACCGGCAATCTTTGGCAAATGACCAAAGTTCATGATTATTTGAAATTACAATGGTGTTATGATCACTCCCCAGGAATTCCCAGAATTCCTGCTGTCATGTGACCACAATTTGGGCATTCGGCAACAGGTTTGCACTTACGACTAGTTGCACACCATTTGGCTTCCTCAGAAAATCAACGGAGAAGCCAGCAGGGAAGGCCACAAGTCACTTGGATAAGCTTCTTCAACCTGTGCAGTCCACTTCAGCCGCTCTCTGCTTGTGCTGGCCTGTGCACACCTGCATATCCTCCCCAATTTTTCCCATGCCTCCTTCACATCTGACACAACAGACACCATGTGTCTTTTGCACTTCCTCAGCTGATAGACACCCCCACACACACCTCCCCAGCAACAGCCACGTACCTGCCTCCCTGCCTGGGATTTGCAACTTCCTTCTGGCTTTTCCATTAACTTTTGTTTTGGTAAGTGGCTAGGAAGTTGCCTCACCTAATGACCTTGGGATTTAGTTAACAATGGTAACTGGGACTGCAGGGATTGCTGTTGCTAAGCAATGCTAACAAGACTTCATAACTGCATTGCTTAGCAATGAAAATTCTGGTACCAGCTGCCATTGTGAATTGAGGATTACCCTAAATTCTTAAAAACCAAACTGCTTGATACTTGCTTGTCAAATAAAGCATGAATGTGTATGTTACATACAATATTCTGCAATATAAACCCCTACTGTTTCCTGTTTGACAAATGTGTATCCCCACTGATTACACTCCCATGCTATGCAAAACCAAATATTTATTTTATGTTGTGCTCAGCTGATAGAATCTGAATGGATAAGAACACTTTTATCACCTCTTCTTCAGCAAGAAAACCTGTTTTGACTCTGTCAAATGTAAATGGCTGATTTGTGCAGAAATCTAGCAATACAGTCAAAAGTTCTACTGTATTTGAATACAATTATTTGGCCACATGAAACTGCCCTGTGATAATGCACCATGTCTTCAAAATGTCAGAAATCCATCTGCATGTCTTTAAAGAAAAAAGAAAAAGAAAATTAATTTTAAACACAATTCAGGCATACTGGGAAGATACTTAATATGTTATACAACTAATTATATTAACCACCTCCAAACTGCAGAAGTGTTAATTACAATTTCTTTCCTGCATGGGTATACAGGTGGCTACTGATAGGAGTTGTAGTCCAACATATCTGGAAAGGCTGTTTCAGATACAGTTAGTCCTTGACTTACAACCATAATTGAGTCCAGAATTTCTGTTTTTAAGTGAGAGATTTGTTAAGTGGGTTTTGCCCTATTTTATGACCTTTCTTGCCTCAATTGTTAAGCGAATCACTGCAGTTGATAAACCCGGTTGTTAAGTGAATCAGGCTTCCCCATGGACTTTGCTTGTCAGGTCGCAAAAGGTGATCACATGAGCTTGGGACAAAGCAACGGTCATTAACATGAACCAGTTGCCAAGCATCTGAATTTTGATCACATGCAAAGGTCGTAACTGAAAGACCATCATAAATCACATTTTCAGTGCTGTTATACTGTTGAATGGTCACTAAATGAATTGTTGTAAGTTGAGGACTAGCTGTAGTTGTTAACATTGAAGGTAGTGGAGTGGGGAAGGTGTATTCTGCAAAAGTTTTCTTCTTTAAAGTTGAAAACACAAATTATTTGGAAATATCTACAATTTCCTCACAATAGGCAATAGGTGGCAACCAGAGTGTAAGTACTTATCACATGAAGCCAAAATTATTGTGCAATACTTTGGATTAAATTTTTAAAAAATGTTTACAACTCTTTAAAGCAGACCCATCCTCCTGGCCTAGTATAGCTGCCATCTCTTGATTATTTATTTAATTATCCAAATGTTATGAGCTAACATGCTAACACTGAATCATAAACTGATTATATAATTTATACAACGCACATAGCTACAGAACTGACTTTTTTGATTCAATGTCATACATGAACAGGCTAAGAATTTCTATCCCAGGTAACCTCAAGTCGACATCCTTGCTCTATAATACATAATACAACATTTCTTGATATTGTACCCAGCTTACAACCCGAAGTAAAAACAGAACAGAATTCTTTATTGGCCAAGTATGACTGGACACACAAGGAACTGTCCTAAATTGCTTAACTATTTCATTAAAGAAGCCATCGTTGCCTGATTGCTACATCCTACCATTTACGAAGTACAATGCTGAGTTAAAAAAAGCTACTTTATATTTAGTGTAACGTTTGAATTTAGCTTCTCTGTTAACAATAGCCAAAAATGAAGAGAAAAAACAGTTTATTTTTTGTATCAAGTTATGTCACTGCCCATGTCACCATGACACTGATGTCACTGAAACAATTTGGGGAGGGGAAGTTGGAGTTGGCATCCTTCGGAAGCAAGCCCTTACCGCTATTTTTCAAACGTTGTCCTTTATAAGATTTCTCCATTTCTTCTAAGAACTGTTCGAAGACTTTCACATATGGAGCTAGACTGGTTTTCTTATAATCTGTTAAAAAAAAAGATTGGGAGGGAAGAGAAAAGACTTATTTTATTTTCAAATTTTAAAATCACAATTATTTAAGCAGATGCAAGGCATTAAGTTTGGCTCCCAGTTGTCCATTTGCTCCCATCAATATGAAAAAGATTTGATTTTCTGGGAAGTGTGTGAAGGGTAAACATTTAATGAAGGCTATCCCCTTTGTTATAAAAAATAAATAATAGTAATAAGCAGCATAGCAAGACAGGTGGTTAATTGAGATGTAACAGATCAGTTTTCTGAAATTTTTACAAATAGAAAAATACAAAATAATTATAATTAAATCTGGCATGTCCTTGGGGTCAAATCAGGAATGCACAAAGCATCTGACCTGGAAGTGAGGTTAATCTCTCACCAAAGATGACCCAAAGGTGCTTTTCCAAAAGGCAACTGGACTTTCTTATTTTTTCTTTGAAAAAGAAAGCTGACTTTGGCAACACATATACTAAAATTGGACCAATACAGAGAAGATTAGCATAGCCCCTGTGCAAGGATGACAGAGAAATTCATGAAGCGTTACGTATCGTTTTCAAAGAAAAAAAAATACCCAAGAAAGTCTGGTTGTCTTTTGGAAAAAGCACCTTTGGGACAGCCATAACCTGGATGACTGAGAATCTTCACACTCTCACAAAAAATATGCTCACTTCCTTTTCAATTCAACATACACAGGAGAGAAAACAACTACAATTCTCCTCTTTTTTTGCACTACTGATATCAACAGCAAGTCACCAAATGATAGCACTGGGAAAGAAGAAGGATAGGCATTAAAATCAAAGTAAGCTTGGTGCACTTATAAAGTTTGGTTTGATTTGCTGCTTACACCGAGGGAGGAAACTGTCTAAAAATCATAATTCCAATGAGATATAGTAATGTCAAAAATTAGCTGATTGGATCCTTCGGCAGTGAAAATAATTTTAATAAGTGGTTGCATCTTCTTTCAAAAAGCTTTCCACTAAAAGCATTTCCAGCCTATAATTTTGCAGGATCTCTATACAGGGGTATAAAATAAGAGAAATTATACACAATTGAAGAATTTAGTGCCACCAATGCAGCATTTCAACTTGTTCCTCCTCATATCTACCTATGCATCAAGAAAATGACACATTCACAATGACAACAGAATTGGCTAAAGAATTGTCCTGATCTTTTCTACTGTTTCTCACAAAATAAGGCTGGGCCTTATTTTTTTTTTGACCCCCGAAAAAATGGCTAGGCTGTCTTTTCAGGGGTGACTTAATTTCCTCCCCCAGAGTGGCCCATATGCACGTACCTCACCGCGAGGCCACTTCTATCAGCCGATGAAAGCTCCCCGAAGGCAGAGTCCCCAGCCGTTTTGGGGTGAGGCATGGCTGCCTGTGTCCCCTCGCCATTAGGCAGTCTCTTTCGGGAGATGGAAGCTCCCTAAGTGCAGATCAGCCGCTTCGATCGGCCAGTAGAAGCGGCCTCGGGGCAAGGGGAGTGTGTGTGTGCACTCGTCCTGAGGCCGCTTCTACCGGCCAATCGAAGTGGCTGGTGACGACACTTGGGGAGCTTCTATCACTCGAAAGAGACTGCCTAAAAGTGAGAGGACACAGGCAGCCATGCCATGCCCTGAAGTGGCTGGGGACTCTGCCTTCAAGGGAGCTTTCGGCGGCCGATAGAAGCGGCCTCGTGGCGAGGGGAGTGTGTGTGCGCGCTCGCCCCAAGGCCGCTTCTACCAGCCGATCAAAGTGGCTGGTGACTGCACTTGGGGAGCTTCCATCGCCCAAAAAAGACTGCCTAAATGTGAGGGAACACGGGCAGCCATGCCACGCCCTGAAGCGGCTGGGGACTCTGCCTTCGGGGAGCTTCTATCGGTAGATCGGGGTATTCTAGCCTAGACTACCTGCAGGGCACTCCTAAAGGCAAGTTTTCTCCCCCCCCGCCCTTCCCCCCCATTTATCTTCACCTCGTGTAGTTCTAATGAACGATGTGAGAAATGGCGGGGAAACGCATGATTTAAATAGGCCTAAATTTGGGGGGCGGGGCTTAATTTCACCTCATGTCTAGAAATCACGCTGGGCCTTCCTATTGGGGGAGGCCATATTGTTGGAGAAACACAGTATGATAGTACGCACCTCGGCTTTTACGAGAGCTTTCTGGCAGACCTTCAGTTTCCTTTCCATTCCCTTCATCTTTCCCAATCATGTCCAGCTCATGACAGAGGTTGCTAAGAAACAGAACAAAAACAATGGAAAATCCACGGAAATTGGCCAACCTATATTGATCACGATCATTTCACTCTGAGCTTGGATCCAGTAAATTGACAATTTATGCAATGGAATTCATTGATCCACTCTTGATTTGTGTTGGAAGAGACTGATTGGATACACCTACCACATTAAATGATATTATGTATTTTCTTTTGCTTGAGCCACTAAGTGGATGTAAGCACTATGAAGTTTAATTGATTATGCAAAAAAAAAAACCCCCACCAAACAAACCAGTGACTAAAGAAACCATAGTTAATGTGTTGTGTGAACCTAGGTATTATTTCATTCCTACACTTTCTAGGTGCAGGAAATCCCAAAAAGATAACCCATACCTTATAGTGGGGACAGCAAATGGATCAAAGTCATCCAATTTCTTCAGGTCAATTGGAACTGAAATGCGTCCTGAAAAAAGTCAAAGGCAGCATTACAACAGCTTCCTTTAAAACAGACTCCCCCAACCTTTCCGGCTTTCCGGACTGGCCATGGGGCAGAGGTGGGGTGGGGTGGGGAAAGAGAGGGGACGGTTCCATGCGAGCGGTGAGCAACCATGCATACACAAAACTCATTTGCGTGAGGGGTGAGACGTATGCATGACGCTTGCACAAATGGGAGTGTGCACAGGCTTCCCTGCTGCTCGCACAAGTGGAAATGTGTATGCACACACAAGTGCTCGCCGCCACTTCTGTGGCCTGGTTCTGAAGGGCTCAAGGCCCATAGTGGGCTGCTGCCTGGGGGGGTTGGGGGCCCTTGGTTTAAAAACTACTAATGGGAAGAGAAAAAACATGCAGCAAGGGATTACATTGCAGAACAGCTCCATGAACTGGGTAAATGTCCACATGGAAACTTTTCCAGACTTTGGAAAGTCTCAACTTACAACAGTTCATTAGTGACAGTTTAAAGTTACAACATCACTGAAAAAGCAATGTATGACTATTTTTCACAGTTGCGACCATTGTAGCAGCCCCATAGTCGTGTGATCAAAATCCAGGCCCTTGGCAATTGACTCTCATTTATGATGGTGGCAGAGTCCTGGGATCATGTGATCTCCTTTTGTGATCTTCTGACGAGCAAAGTCAACGGGGAAGCCAGATTCACTTAACAACCGTGTTAATAACTTAACAACTGCAGTGATTCACTTAACAATTGTGGCAAGAACGATCGTAAGATGAGGCAAGCTCACTTAACAAATGTTTCACTTAGCAACAGAAATTTGGGACTCGATTGTGGTCATAAGCCGAGGACTACCTGTATTGTCCTATACTCTAAGCACATGCTGGGAAACTCTAGAGGCAACCTTCAAGATTTAATCTCTTAACACAGAAGAGTCAAAACATGCTTATCTGTTGTTTGTATCCTGGCTGTTCTTCCTAAGATGACATAGTTAATAGAACTTATTTAATGCCTAACAGATTCTCAATCTAAAATATTGCTTTAGATTGATTAAAACTCACAAACTCCAGAGACAACATTTCCATTTCTATAGTTATAATTTTATATTAGCAGTATATGCTGGCCCCATTTGTTTTCACAGAATGACCCCTTCAGGCCTCAAATCACGTTGGATTTGAGCATTATTTCCTCCAACTGCTCATAACTGAAAACACTAACAGGGAAACGTACATTTCAGAAGCAGCAGAAGGAAAAATTGGTCCATTAGACAAAACAATACCTTGCTACTAACAATGCTTAAATCCTCCCTGTTCTCTATGCTCAATTTTGCCTATATAGCATTACGTTATTTCATCTTCCAAAAAGTCTGAAGTCTCAGCCAGGCTGAGAGATAGCAAGTGGCAGAGTATCAATACAGCGATCTCCACGGTTGAAATCAATTCCCTGTGTTTCCACCTCCAGCTTTAATATTTCTTGCCATTTTAGGCCTTCGTCGAATTTCCATCAAAAAGAAATATGCAAGAGTATTGTGTTCAGCAACTGACCTGTTTTGGGGTGAACGCTGAAAGGGCTCTTCAGCAAATGATTGATGCCTTTGCTAACGTTCATATCCAGGCGTGGAAAACAGTACTGCAGCATAATCTCTCTTTCAGCCTGTACCATTTTCTTCAGAATGAGAAAGAGAAAAAGCATTAATGTAAAGGAAACTGGCCTAAGTCAAGACAATGTCTAGGTCTAGCTAACCTCAGTACAGGTACTCTTCGACTTGCAACAGTTCATTTAGTGAATGTTCGAAGTTATAATGGTACTGAAAAAAGTGACTTATGACCATTTTTTACACTTAAGACCGTTGCAGCATCTCCATGGTTCACATGTTCAAAATTCAGATGCTGGACAACTGCCTCGTATTTATGACCGTTGCTGTGTCCCAAGTTCTTGTGATTATCTTTTGCAACCTTCTGGCAAGCCAAGCTGATAGGGAAACCAGATTCATTTAACAACCATGTTACTAATTTATTTAAATGTGCCAAGAAAAATAGTAAAATGGGGCAAGTAACATAATTCTCACTTTGCAACATAAATTCTGGGCTCAGTTGTGGTCATAAATTGAGGACTACCTGTAGTGCCCAGGCAAACCAGCTTCCTACCTTTCTAAGGTTTCAAGTCTAAGTCTTTCTCCTTTTTTGGAGACCTTGGGGGCTGAACTTTGGATGTTCTGCATACAAAGCAAGCACTTCTCGAACTAAGACACATTAAACATCGTAATTTTATATATTTGCACATTATCAATTGAATTTATATGTCCCCCCCAACTTCCCATAACTCTTCTCCAATTACTGTTTGTGCTTTTTTTGTAATTCAGCAGCCCAAAAGCTTTCAGAGTAACTGTAGCTCCCTCTTCAGATGCTCAATTTTCAATAAGATATAAATAAACTTTTTTATGGTGGAAGAAAGCGAAGTAGGGAGAATCAGCATACTAAAAATAGAAAGTGTAGTTGTAGCCTGGATATGTCAACTTTCCATCTTAATCATTGTCATTTTATCTCCACTTATTGATTTTCAGTCTCACAAGCGGTCCCTTGTGCTCTCAAAATCCAGGGCAACTTTAGAAGGCAGAAGCGCTAAGATTTACTATCCCCCAGTCTTGAGTTATTGACCTTTTCAGCACTACAACTTAAAATATGAGGCTTACCTATTAGCAAAGTTCTATCCCCAGTGTTAATTTTGCACATGCTATTTGTTTTACCTTTTTTTCCAGAACTTCCCAGCGCTGCTCTGAATTGTGCTTTTTACGGAATTCCAAAGAAAGATTATCTTGATCTGGTGGCAGAATTGTTAAGGATTTTCCTGGTTAGGCTTTGAAGCAGAATTGCTAACTTTCTGTACCCTCTCCAATGGGGAATAGCTTTACCTTCTTTCAAAAAGACTTGCATGTCAGTCTTCTGTTCCTGGTATACAGTAGGTCAGATGGGCCCATTTCCAAACTAAATCGGTTCTAATTCAGTGTTTCTCAACCTTGGCAATTTTATGATGTGTGGATTTCAACTCCCAGAATTGTCAGGGTTGAGAAACTCTGCTGTGATCTGTTAGTTATCAGGACAAAATGATGGATGTCAGCTGCCATCCAGATATTATCTCTGAATGCTCAGCTCAACATTCCCCTAGTGGATATGCAAACGCTTCCTCAGGAGACCAACAAATGTGGAGACTATTTTTCCACTTTAAGATGACAGGCTGATCCTTGATCCTTGAGTGTTTGGCTAAACTAAGGTCATGCTTACTAGGCCTCATGATGTATCTGGATCCTCGTATTTATCTCCATGGGACTTCCTTGCAATTAAGTCTGCTTAGAACGGATGCTTTAAATCAGGGGTGTCCAACCTTGGCAACTTTAAGACTTGTGGACTTCAACTCCCAGAATTCCTCAGCCAAGTTGCTGGCTGAGGAATTCTGGGAGTTGAAGTCCACAAGTCTTAAAGTTGCCAAGGTTGGACACCCCTACTTTAAATTGTATACAAATCTTGTATGTGCACTACTGAAGAATAAGATGGGTAGAACAGACATTTTTTTTCCTCCTGTGCATGTGAGTATCTCCCATTTTGGAACAGCCCCTGGAAAATCTCTCTTCAGGAAGAAAATTAGACCAGCAAGGAAAGCACAGGCCCGATTGTTCTTGACTTTTTCTATCTAAACATCCTGTTTTACTGCCACAAATAATTTTGGAAAAGGTTATCTTAGGAGTTGATTACTTTTAGGATATGTAGGGAGTCCTTCTGTTGTTGCCGAAATACAGTTCTCAGCATTTCTCACCACTGGCTATGTCATCTTGCAACTACTGGGAATTGTAGTTGAATATCAGGAATTTAACAGACTTCCCACCTTATTGCAAATGAGCCATTTATCCCATTTTTAAATACTGATGGTTTCTTATTATACTTCCTTCCTCCATCTTAACTTTCTCTGCTGTCTCTCAGAAATAATCAAAGACAAAGTCAAACCAGGTGCTATCTATTATAAGGAAGAAAAAGGCAGAGATGAAGAAATTGTCTAAGGAAGATGGTGTCCAAACAGCTTACGTGCTTCTGCCTGAAAAATGCCTTAGCCAATTAACAAATTCTATATTGATAAGGGGTTTTTTTTGAGAGAGTGGGAGTTTATTACATTGTTAGAAATAATTTTACTTCCTGGCTACTGCAACAATCCAGATGCTAGACTGTAGATATCTGGATTATGTTTTACACATTGTCTTGATTATTTATGGATAGTCTGGCCAGATAGTCATACAAAACTGCTCTTCCCAAATATAACCTCAACTCCATCTTTGCGAGTTCCCAAAGGATATTCTCTGGAACCAAGGCTAACACTTTATTCCATTTTTCTTTATTGCCAAGTATGTCCTGACCAACAAGAGCATATTCTTTGAAGTAACGTGCCACTATATCCAATGATGCTCTGAAAAAGAAGAGAGGAAAGCATCAGAGAGACAAATGGCTCCTGAATGTTTTAGGATTTTGTAAGAGAGAGAATGTTAGGCAGATGCAACTTTCTCGTGCAGAGAAAAATGAAACAACTTCTGCCGAAATCATCTCATTATCATTTAGTTTGTTCTTGCTTGAAACTGGAGGCCTTACAGCATTTATAGCAGTATGCAAAATAGCAAGTCCTAATTCTACATCGTCATCACTTTTAGGTATAAGAACAAAAAGGCATGAAAAAAGCAAGATTTTACTGTGCTGATTTTTCCCAATATGCTAAACTCTTTTGGGGGGATCTGTGTGCATATGAAATAAAGTACTGTAATGTAAAAAGTGCCAAATAGTATATATCATCTGAGAACCCAAAATACTCATCTAAAGGTTTTTAAGTCTAAGCTAGTTTCTTCATGTTAGCATTGGGCGAATTAGAGGAAAGATTTTAACCAGCACATTAATATCACTGCAGATGGACCTTTATCCACCTGCTCATTCAAACCAGAGCTATTATCAGGATAGTATTAAATATAAGTAAGTCATCCTTGGCAATAGCTAACAAGCTTACCTGAGATCTCCAAACTTGGCAACTTTAAGACTTGTGGACTTCAACTTCTAGAATTCCGAGACAGGCATAATCCTCGAAGAACATTTTATTGGGACATATCAAATTGGCACAAACTTGCTGGAAAATCGGCTTGAAGTTCCCACGGGTTTTACACCCAATTAAAAGCAAAACTTTGTTACTCCCCCCCCCCATCTCCAGTCACATGGTCCAATCACCATGTAGTCCAGTTGCTAGGTGACCTGTCTCCACCTTGCAAACACCTGCACCAATGTCCTTGATTCCCAGGGGAAAGAATTTTATTTAGGCTACAATACCCCAGTTATATCTAAACCCCTCCTCCCTGGCCCCTTTGCTCCAGGCTGTCAGCCCTGAAGCAGTGAGAAAAGGAAACTAGCTGGCTGAGGAATTCTGGGAGTTGAAGCCCTCAAGTCTTAAAGTTGCCAAGTTTGAGGACCCCTGCTCTAAACTAAGTTTTGTCAATGCTTCTTCTAGAAAGCAGAAGCTGAGTTGGAAACAGACCACTGCAGTAGGTGGTATCCTCTTTAGCCACATCAGGAATTGCATCTATCCTGATTCATACCGCCACAAGACAGAGTGCTCTATTTATTTATATGTATTTATTGGATCTGATGCAACTGGAGTCCAAATAAAGCTAAGCTCTTGCTTAGACCACACTTTCTTAAACCCTACGATTCTCAGTTCAGTTCAAAACTGTTTCAGCTTGGAGTGAGGCATCCATGGCCTCTTGCTATTGTCGAACAATAACAGATACCATTGCCCAAAACAAGGAAATTGCAATTCAATGATTTTTGGAATGCTCCCTACTCAAATTATTAAGATAGATTTCAACTGGAAACTGGAAGGCACCAAGTTCCACTTCATGGCACTTGCACACATTATTGAAAATCCAAAAATTACATTAACTGACCTGATGAAAGGATGAATGTGGTTATTATCTGAAAGGGTTACTTTCTTGATGGTTCCTTCACCCCCCTAGAAATGTTCAAGGAAAAGCAAGGTTAGAGTCTGTTTTTGTCTGCTTTCCTCCCCTTTGGACATGAAAGTCTCAGTGGCTCTTCTGGCTACACAGGTCACAGAATTCAGATATTGTGGTGAATTGTCTGCCTCGCTTGTCTCTTTCCCCAACATTTCAGTGGCCCCTCGTGGCACCATTTAGTTCAGCATCAAGACCAACATTTTTAAAAAAAAAACTCTGAAGGAAAAGCTAAAGGTAAACTTCAGCTAGTGAGTATTTCCTTAAGATTGGAAATTGATTCCTAAACAAGGAGAACATACAGAACTGATTCACATTGTTTTTCCCTAGGAAAATCAAGAAATGGCAGCCTAAGATGCTGGATTAACAATGAGCAATACATTGAATTATTTGCTGGGGGAAAGAGTAGCACTGAAAACATCTGCTGGACTTCTGTACCTTTAACCATGATAGAGAAGACAGAATATTTAAAAGTGTATCTTTTCTGATATGGGTGAGTGCTGTGAATGCCCTCCTCCATCTGATTATTAAAAATACTGACGCCTATCATCCTGGGCATCTAGGCAACCTGGTAAGGCATACAACTGGCTTTAATTTAAAGGGTTACCCTAAGACTAAACTAATAGCATTTTGTGCTGAGAAGTCTAAACAACATATGTAGGGAGTGGGAGAGAACAGGAGAGAACTATGTTGATTTCTAAATATGGTGAACAACTGAACCTATTGATACATTGTGCTAAGCCCTGATTTGTTGAATAAATTGTGTGTGTTTGTGTCACACACTGCACTGTATAAAACTATGCCAGTGGTTTTCAAACTACAATTGGTAGATTCATGTTGTGCTAAGACAAAGCTAACTAAGTCACACTGGCCTAGCTTATTACATAATATTTCTCTATGTCTCATAAAAGGGCAAAGGACAGGCTTATGTAATAGTTGTGTAAGCAAGCATCTGATCTGCAGTACTGCACTCACATTGGCAGTTATTTCATAATCGCATTGCTCCTTCAGATTCTCACATTTTTTTAGACTTCTTTTTCCCCCCCAGGATTTCCAAAGAACACAGAAATCCCTCTTTACCAATTCTCTGCTTTCTCATTGAACAATTAAAGAGGCAGAAAACCTTTCCTTAAATGATTTCCATTTTGAGGAGCTGTGGTTAAAAATTCCAACAATGCATGCCTGTATCACAGCAGATAACTATATTGTGAATTTTATTATAGTAAGAATTTACTTCTCTTGTATTCTTGGTTTCCCCTCTCCGCCCCATTTTCTCATTTTGTGTGCTTTCTTTTCAGTTTGAAAGAGGGAGGGAAGGGTATAGATTTTTATGGATCCATAAACCATTCTAGGATTCTTTGCGTTTGAAGAATGGATTAAATATCATGTAAGTAAGTCAACAGCACCTCCATTTACTGTCTGTTCTCTTTCCAGATGCAGGCTCTGATGTAAGAGCCTATTGCCAAGACAGTATTCATGCGTGATTAATTCCCTCACCCTTTTGATGTGAAAGGTTACTTATTTCCCTGGGTAAATGACAGATAGGTAACTTGAGTCCAAGGGATAGCATCTAAGCTGCCGTTCTAGAACTCCCAGCATCCACACTAATTGCCCTGACAAAAATTGGTGCTAGTTGGAAATCAGAGCTTCAGCTATTAAAACCTGCCACTTCAGACCTGGGAAACTGGGTTTTCTTTTTTTTTTTTGAGTTCCATCAGTTGCATTGGTTATTTTGGAGGATTGTCTTCTGGCCCTGGCCCTGGCCCTGGCCCTGCCCACTGCAAATCTCATTGCATAGTGTGGCCACGCTCTGTTCCCCTCTGGCTACAGCAAGGGTGTCAAATTCGAGTTCATTGAGGGCCACATGACGGTTGTGTTTGACCTCGGGGGGGGGGGAAGGTGTTCAGAGGGGGCGTGGCCAGCTCAATGTCACTCATGTTGGGGGCGCTTGCGGCCCGAGCGTTCTGCCAGCGAAAACAGGCTCCTGAGCTGTTTTCAGCTGCGATAGCTTCCTGCAACCCTCTGCCAGCGAAAACGGAACTCCAGAGGGCTACCTGCAGCCCTCCCAAGCTTTGTTTTCACTGGTAAAGGCATCACGGACCAGTCCTTTGCTGTTTTCAGGACAGCCCTGCGTGTGAGACCTAAGCACCCGTGAGCTGGATCCAGCCCCTGGGCCTTGAGTTTGACATCCTTGGGCTACAGGAACACACCTTGACTAGGGAGAGATATTCCACTGCGGCAGAGCGGAGAGTTGAAGACCACTTCCTGACGGCTTCATCACACACCCAGCAATGGACCCCTCTGCGTCCTGAATACACCCACAGTCTATGCTGAATGCCAAAGTCCTCTGCAGAGACAGAAGAAAAGCAAAAAAAATAAAATAAAAATACACCGTTTAGATTACCAAGGAAACAAACAAACAAAACTTAAGAGCTGTAAAAATTTACATTTATTCTGTTCAATACAATCTGTGACTCAAACTATGGCAATCTGTAAACAATGACTTATTACTGAATGGATTGAATGAACCTAATTATGGCTTATTTATAGTTAAAGCCATGGTTTAAGATAGCAGATCAAGGAAAATAGCAGCTTGCTTTCAGCTACAGCAAAAAGTCTGCATCTCTGAGCCAAAACACTGCAAATAAGAAAAATAAATCGAAATGCTAGTAGCCGGTTGGCCATTTATTGATAGCTGATTTGATACTGCACATTTCTGCGTTTTACTGTATAGTTTAATCTCGTTTGGGTTGTACTATAAACTGCTTCAAAAATTTTTTGAAGCAGTAAAAAGATGTTTGAATAAAGACTCATAAATATTGAAAGACCACTAAATATGACTACTGAATTGAATAGAAATACATGTATTTTTTTCCACTATAAAACATGTGGGGAGAACCAGTGGGAGTAGACCACACAGGTCTTTATAAATCTGAAAAGTAGCAGCCCCTGACTGATGCTGGCTGGTCTTGAAAACCTAAGCAGAGTTGGACTTCATTCATCCTTAGAGGGGAGGCCACTAGGAAATCCTGGGACTAGTTTGGGAAGACAAAGTAGTCCCAGAAGGTGGCAATGAGATACTATTTCTGAGCAAACTATTTATCTTATCCTGACACGTTCACATAGGACCAAGAGTAGTGTTCTGCTGAAGGACAGGCAGAAATATCCTCCTTCAGATGGGAGCTAAGACATATATGAACTGAAGAATAGAAGAGCTGAGCTCTGCAAAGAAAACTCAGGGAATGTGCCAAAACCAAAGACTATTTGGCAGATATCTACTAAAATTAGAAATGGGCCTGTCCATCTTTCCTATTATCAAACAATAGATAAGGTCAATTCTTCTCAATCAAGTATACTCCAGATGTCTTAGAATTGCTGCTCCTATAATCTCCAGTCAGCATGACTATAGTTCCCCAAAGCCCCAAATTAGGGAAACCCCAATTAGCCACTATCCAAGAATATTGTGCTAATTTGACAGGCCCGAGCCAATATCTGTTCTTCCTTTCTCACGTGAAATGGCCATGCAAATCTATAGGTCTCTCCTACAACTGTGCAGGACCAAGATTAAAGAGTGTGAGGCTAGGAATAAATTAATCTTGATATATTTTTTCAATAAATCAAAGAAATATAGTTCACATGATTATCCCTGAACAATTAATACATTTCTTACAACATTAAAAATTGCATTTGGACACTATCATGTTGTGGAGGGATGTCTGGAGGCAACCGAGGTAATTCATTGCTGTAACACATAAGGGAACTATAGAACCTAACTGTCAGGATTCCAGCGATAGATCATCCTAATTACATCCCTCAATAATCTATCTTTCTATGACTCAGCATTAATGTAAACTTGCACAACATGGAACACGATTTAAAAATTATTACTAAGTAGATATAATTCCCCGCCCGCCATTGCTAAAGCATAGGGAACTTCTTGAAACTTCTCTTTTCTTTAGGTCAGGCATCTTGTGCAATCAAGAAGGTTGAAGAAATCACATCATTCTGAAATACTTTGTAGGCTGCTCAAAGGTGGGTATGTTCTAGCTTTGGTAGAGGAAGAGGGTTAGACTGGACAGCCAAAGGGATTAGATAGCTATCAGCCACTTACCTACAAGGGCTCGGTCTATAATATGGATGGCAATAGTCATGAGAGTCCAGCATTTGGAGCAGATCTCTGCAGAGCTGAAGGGAGACAAAATGATTGCTATTTGTAAAAGGAACTTACAAGATCATGTAAACATCATAGTCAATACAGGTAATCTTCAACTTACAACCATTCGTTTAGTGACCATTCAAAGTTACAATGGCACTCAAAAAAGTAACTTATGATTGTTTTTCACTCTTGCGGCCGTTGCAGCCTCCTTATGGTCACTGATTAAAATTCAGGTGCTTGGCAACTGGTCTTTATTGGCGAAGGATGCAACGTTCTAGAATCATGTGATTGACCTTTTACCACCTTGTGATAAGCAAAATCAATAGGGAAGCCAGATTCACTTAACAACCATGTTACTAATTTAACACCTGTAATGATTGACTTAACAGCTGTGGCAAAAGTCATAAAATTGGGCAAAACTCAACTGTCTCGCTTAGCAACAGAAATTTGGGGCTCATTGTGGTTGTAAGTTGACCTGTACCATACAGTTTTGAATTCTCTTCCTGTGTAAGCACTGGACTTTTCCCCTTCAACCGAAAAAAATGAACTTCTGAAAGCTAGGCACTTCAAAAGGAATTCTTTATTGAAAGGAAGTGGTCCTGGTACTAGTCGAAGCAGAATCTAAGATGCTTCCAGGCATACAGTAATAAAGGGAGTTAGAACCCCTTATTCTGATGTGGATTTAGTCAAACAAAGAACCAACGTGTTAATTCCGCCACCCTTTTCTGGGAACGTATCTTAGAAGAGTTTCCCAGGTAGTATCTTTCAGAGCTGGAATTTTTATGGTCCCTTCTCCTCTTGCTATCTCTCCAAGAGGTGACAAGTTTCTAGACATCTGGCTCCAGTCCTCCAGCTGTATATCATGTGCAAGTTATACAGATTCAATATAAGATTTAAGATATTCAGGTTACATCAAAAAGGATTACTTGTACCAACCTCCCCCCTCCCTTCTTCTTCCATTGAAGAATGGCAGATAGACGGATCTGACATCCAGCTTGTCAAGATGGCCAGTGGTAAGGATGGGATTTGTAGTGCCACACTATGATTTAGGTCAGGAGTGTCAAACTCCCGCTGTCACCTTACGTATTGGGACTTTCCCCCTTTGCTAAACCGGGCATGGGTGTGGCTAGTGTGTGATGCATCTGGCCCGTGGGCTGGGAGTTTGCAGCCCCGATTTAGATTATTCGTGCTACTACACTTACCAATAAGTGCACTTATTAGAATGAGCTTTATTCCAAGTACTGGTTTGAGTTTCATATGTTGGCTTAATCACATTGCTTAAAAAAAAGGTAGGAAATCAGAATTTTTTCCCACCAATGTCTTGGACAGTATGTGGTACAATTGTTGTCTTGAGATTTTAAAAATAAACACAGCTAAACATAGCTGGGAATAAGCACTCTGTGCTCAGAAAGGGAATATCTAGATTCTCAGAAGCAACTGGCAATACAGGTAGTTGTTTTTATTATCTTGTCCCCTGGCAATCTTCCCTACCTGTTGACATAAAATATATATCATAAAGTCTGTTGTAGATCAGATACATCAACTGTTTGTATTTTGTTTGAAAATAATGTCCATTGTGTGCAGTGGGGTTTACTTTTGAGAAGTACCATGTTTCCCCGAAATAAGAGCCTATCTTATATATATTTTTGCCACCAAAAAAGGCACCAGGTCTTATTTTCGGGGCATGTAATCCACTGACCAACCTCACTTGCGCGTATTGCCCCCAGCCTCCTTTTTGCTGTCAGAGACCTTCAGGAACTTCTTCAGCTGGCAAGGCTTTCCTGAAGGCCTCTGCAGCTGATAACAGAGCTCCGGATCGATCCAGAGCTTTATTATCAGCTACAAAGGCCTTCAGGAAAACCTTGCCAGTTGCAGAAGAAATGGGCCGGCAAGGCAGGTATCGGGGTGTACGAGGCCTGCTACAACTGTCTAAAGTTAAGTAGTAGGGCAGATCCACCCCCGCCATCCCCACCCTAGCTCAATTTTTATCCGTGCACTCTGGAGGGTGGGATGTTCATTAAGGCTTTTTTTGGGGGGGTGGTGGTGGTGTTAGGGCTTATATTGGGCTCAGGTGTAAAAAACAAGCTAGGACTTACTTTCAGGGTAGGTCGTATTTTCAGGAAAACAGGGTATTTATAACACTATGGTCCAAGGGATTCTACTATTCAGAAAGCCACCCTTTTTGTAGCTCAGAGGAATCGAGACTTTACTAGGAAGGACAATCTGAAAGGACTGTAGGTCCAAGTACAGTTCTTTGTGCATAATATTTTGCCTATTATGAATTGGCTAATGAATATCAAATCATGATCGCAGAAAGATAAGGTACCTGCAGCATTGCCTAACATCATCATAATCTGTCAGGTCTATATCGAACACCAATTCCTTTTCCTGAGCTTGAAAAGCACCCATGTGGACGGTGTTATGCTGGATAGGCTGCAAAGAAACAAACAAAACACCACCCAGAATAAGCATCATGCTATGATTTACAATCTAAATTCCATCCTTTCATAACATTTCAGGCTGCTGCATATTTTTTTTTTGTTAAATCATGCTTGGCCACTGATTTTATGACTTTTCTTGACACATTTGTTAAGTGAATAACTGCAATTGTTAAATTAGTAAAGTGGTTGTTAAGTGAACCTGGTTTCCCCGTTGAGTTTGCTTGTCAGAAGGTCACAAAAGTGATCACATGACCCAGGACACTCCAACTGTCATAAATATGAACCAGCTGTCAAGAATCCGAAGGTAAATCACATGACCATGGGGATTGGACAATGGTCCTAAGTGTGAAAAATGGTCATAAGCCACTTTTTTCTGTGTCGTTGTAACTTCAAACAGTCACTAAATGAACTGTTGTAAGTCGAGGACTACCTATCCTATATATTTGTTAATAGTAAACACACACATATGTTCAGGTAACATATCAGGACAGCTTTCAACTGTTAATCCCCATAGGTTTTACATATTAATAACATAAAGAAAATAAGACATTTTATTTGGTCAAGTGTGATTAGACACACAAGGAATTTGTCTCCGATGCAGAAGCTCTCATTGTACAATGCAAAGCAACAGAATCATCATTACCATCACCACATCAATAAGGGTGGGTGGAGTAAAGAAGATAAAAAGAATAAGTGATAATACTACAGGCATGCCACATGGGGGTGTATGTGTGTGTATGTATGTATGTGTGTGTGTGTGTGTGTGTATGTATATATATAT